AAATCATGTGGCTACTTTTGGTGCTGATGATAACGTGGCTTCAACAGAGTGAAGTAAAATGTTGTGCTTTTTTTCTGGTCAAAGATAGTTTAAAATGCTCTGGTAAACAACGTCTTGGAGTCTAGGATGACTTCTGACTTGGACACGTTCAAATATTGGAACTCGAAACAATTTTTATCAACAGGTCCGTTGAGGGCCATATTGATGATGACGGGAATCAGTAAATGTTCATGCAATTGGTCTTTGAAAACGTGATATCCAATTTTGATCGGAATCAAGAGATTCAGAGGCAACGGTGAGGGTTTTGGCTTCCACTCGTCATCGGGGATACTTGGCTGCAGTTCTGGTCAGAGTTTTGACTAATGTCGTTTCTCACTTTAAATAAGACTTCCATACGTGGAACGTAAAGTCTGGACTCTTCGATTTTCGTTTTGTACGCGTTAGCATATCCTCCATCGAAACGAGTACGGTAATAGTTATATTTAGTCTGAGATGTATATTCAACGATTAAACAAAACATTGTCTTGCAACTCAATGTTCATTTGATGGCGATCCATCAACTGTAAACTACATCCTGGTTGAATTTACTTTCGACGATCATTGATTCCAACATTGTGAGGATCGTTATCGTCGTGCAAAGCTATTTCGTTGAAATCACCCAAGTTTCGATTTTCCACACTACTGAGGCATCTTGAGGGGTAAAGGAGGATGTATCAATGACGCTGCTGACCAGTTTGTTGTTTAAGTACAAATCCATTTCGCGGAACCACGAATATATGCAATTTTCGAAGGGAGCTACTCTAACATCGAGTTCTTCCTTTGAAAAATCAGTAATATTAACGTCCTTCTACTCTTCTTATTTCCACAACTCTAAGACTGGTTGGCTACAATAAGTCAAAATTCTCACTTTAATCTGACATTGTATCCAATTCAAATCTGGTCTCAATAGCTATGTCAAATTGCACGCATCAGTAAGATGACCATCACTCGCCCCCCCAAAAATACCCACATTTTCACTCAAATAATAAAATGTAGGACCACCAACGTATAGACAGGTCAGTTCTGAAACTGGAAAAATTGTAACTTTTTGTTGCCAAAGCTGTGCATTAAAACCTGGCTGGTTTGACAGTTAAACGTTTTGCAACAAACCTTAATGTCAGCAATATTGGCAGCGTTTGTCAGTGACAGCAATAAATCCAATTTAAAAGTTTTAAACGTCACATAGACTTGAATAAATTTTTAAAAGATATATTTGTGTATCGCGTATAGATTGTAAAATGCAAGCCAGTTCCCTGTTTTAGTTGTGTTTTTATTCTTCTCTCCATCTTGCTAAAAGTATTAATGGCTCTCTTTATGCATTGTTGCTTGTATCTCTTCTTTCACTCCACTGGCAAACATATAGGAATCATGAAGTCTGAGGTGATATCGATCTTTTTCAAAAGAGGGATGGTGGAATGGGATAGGGGTTTAGCTGTGTTTGTAAATGGATAATAAGATAACTATGAAAGTGGGTGTGTTTGGTTAGTAAACGTGTGATAATGTGATAATGATTAGTGGATGACTAGGTTTCGGATGCGAGATGCAGTTTTAACTTCACATTTCCTTTTCGATGCCAGTGAGCCCACAATGTAAAAATTTTGTTTGATTATCCCATTATAGGTCAACCAGTTGTAATAATGTATACGATGTTCTCTCGACGACATAACTGTCAGTTAGATGTCCATAATGTTAAACCTGTGGACATTTTTATGTGTGATTTGTCTTCTTGATTCTTTAATCCCACAATCTAGAAGCAAACAAACAAACAAACAAACAAACAAACAAACAAAGAAACACAAAAAACAACAAAAAACCCAAATAAAAAACCCCACCCCAACAAACTAATATAACATATAATTTCCCATCTTGTCTCCAGACGGCCACACTCTGCTACTTTTGTACACATGAAATAATTGCTATCGGTGTCATTGAATCAGTGTATCTACAAATAAAATTGATGAATTAGTTACTATTCACAATTGAAGAACCAAAATAAAAAGAGACAAATAGAAAGGTATTTCATCTACTTTACTTTTCAATGCGGAAAGGTACGGAGAGGTAATTATTACAAATCTCCTTGTCAAGTGCAACCCCTAACCCAATTGGTCAAGAGGAAAACATTTGAAAATATTCTAGTCTCCGTTAAGAATTTAGGTACATAATACAATAGTTTATTCTTCTTTTTAATTTTTTTTTTAAATTCCTATTGATAATCAAGTTAAAAGTTATTTCACGTTCTTTTTGTGTAAAATTTACCGAAATATACAGCTCTAAAGGTATTGCTTTTCTGGCAGTAGAAGAATAATGATGTTCGACAGCTTCAAAATCAGTTGCGCATGCGTAGTGAGACGGAGGACAAAGATTACCCCTATAAAGATCGGACAATAACGAACTACACGCTTGCTTGTTTTATGTATGAAAAATATGTAACAAATTATTCGTACTCTTAATAACAATAAGGAAGGTTGAAGCAGCAGATGCTGGACGCCTATTTCCACAGGAGAAAATGTTATTGGGAATGAAAAACTATGTAACGACCAAATTTCGTCACCAATATAAATCGGCATATGTATGTATATTTCTTTCATTTCTTTCAACTATGTCGTCAGAAGAAAGTTTCATATGACGACACATTTGACCTCTGTAAAATAATTAACCGTTTTGTCCAATACAAGTGCCATTCAAAATACAATTTGCTTGATAATCTTGCAAAAGTGTGTGATTTAGTTGTTGAAGACGTCATTACAAAGTACTCGAAAAGTATGGTCTCCCATATTGTTTCTTCTTTAAAGTTTGGCGTACTTTGGATCATGCGATACACACGTTTACACGATGCTGACATTTTCCTTTAGCACGTATGAATGAATCTCGCTAGGTTAAATAATATATTGTGAAATTGGAAATATCTGTGTCTTACCCCTTGTGGGTGGGCACGTGCGCGCGCGCACACACACACACACACACAAAGACTATTTTCGGTCGTAATAAAGGAGATTAATAGTAAAACTAAAAGACTTTAAGTATGTAAACTAGTTAATTCAATAGAGCTTATGGTGTTTATTATTTCCAACACAGTTAAGATTGATTTTTTTTTTAAAAATGTGTTTATGGAATGAACGAATAGTTAACTACTTACACAGTGAACGCGTAGCCATTCACATTCCGCCTCACATACTAAAACAAGTACAAATTGTAATCTAAGCAAAACGACGAACCAACAAAAGGTGATTCAATCGTTTAAATGTATTTACAATCGATCTAGGGCATTATTATGACGTAATTAACATAACTACCGACCATGCAATTGTTTCTATCGTCCTTTTCTATCTTTCCAGTTTATGAAAGCATGTAAGTTCGCGTGACAACATTTTACCATAATTACTAGGTCTACAAATATCGTCTACGACAGATGAAAATCAGAGAGAGAGAGAGAGAGAGAGAGAGAGAGAGAGAGAGTACTAATACTAACCTCGTAATGCTGCGCGCTAAGTGAGACAGTTGCTAGTACAGTTTTTAAAGCATTTGGTATGACTCTGCCGTGGTTCGAACCACGACCTCCCGTATACGAGTCAACCGCTCTAACCTCTTAGCCCACCGGAGCGGTCAGAAAAAGAAAGTAATACCGTCTGAACTCAACCTTAACCAGAAGCTTAAATAGTAATGTATGTAATTTATTTTTCATTATTGAAGAATTATGAACATGTTTTTTGCATATTGAAGATGAATTGTATGCCATATTTAGTAATCATTTAATTCTTCAGACTAAAAGCAAGTATAGGAACCTGTCCTTTGCTTAGTTTAGGACTACTATAGGGTTGAATCACACGAAAATACAATTTAGATCATTGGTACTGACTAGCAATTTAGAGAAGACAATGTTCACTAAGGGGTGTATTTAACGGCACAATAAGAAAAATGTTTTCTTGTACTGAGGCTAATTGACGTCAACTGTCTTTCCCAAAGATTCAAGATAGGGAACAATTTGGCCGGGTCAGGGTCAAATTCAAACCCGCCTTTGGGTGGCAAGTCCGTCACGCTCATCACTTACCCATCGAGGCTCCATGGAGGATGTTTCTGGTTCTCTAATCACCTATATTCTGCATCTCTTGATTGCATGGGTCCTTCATAACAAAGAATCATGGTGTATAGTTGGTTAGGTAAAAAGCTCGGATCTTCTGCTATATGTCTAGACCTTATAATACGCACGTGCCATATGTATAAACCTTATAAGACGCACGTGCTTTATGTAGCACACGCTTCCGCTTTGAACAGTACACACAATTCTGTCAGTGATTGCAGAAAGCTGAGTGGGCTAAAGGTTTTGTCTTGAGAAGATATTTCGGAATTCGGCATTCGATCTCACGACAAATAGGTTTGCTTTCCTTCGTGAAGAATTAAATTTCAACATCAATAATGACCCATGATTCCTATAAACCCGCGTGGCAGCATATGCGGCACGTGCTCGATATTATGTCACAGACTATTTGCCCTGTGATGCATCCAGTGTTAATATATCTCCTGACTAAACGTAGACATATCATTTTACCAATTTACCTTCATCTTTGTTTCATATGCTTTGTAAAGATAATTTAATTTACTCAGTACTGCATAAACAATAACGTGCTAATATACCCTTAAACACGAAAAGAAATTATTTTTGATGACGTGCCACTTAACCCCACATACCTACCAACGCACCTACCTATTTACACACACATACCTTTATACATATATACATAGATAAAGAAATGTGATGTGATTATGATTTTTAACTTGGCTTTAACAATTTTTCAGTCATATCGATACGATATCTGCAGTGTGTCAGTTTATAGTGATGCCTAGCACTGACGCATCATGCTGCAGTCACATTATCCTGACACCAGGCCGACAAGTCATAACACTAAACGCTTAAGGCTGAGCGTAACGCGAGGCAGCTGTTATTACCATTTTTTGTAAGTCTTTGGTCGACCGGGGATGGAACCCATGACTTCCTGCATCCGAGGCGGACGCTCTAACCACTAGGCTACCGGAGCGATTTAGATAAAGAAATACATACATACATACATACATACATACATACATACATACATACATACATACATACATACATACATACATACATACATACATACATACATACATACAGTTGTCTGGTTTGGAGCTCAGCATAAGAGAATCTTGTTAGGACTGGTCGGCCTGGAGTCGGCATAATGTGACTGAGTGGGACATCATGCTTCATATCAGCACATAATGTCCCAGTGCCAGACATCACTATAAACTGCCACACTGCAGACATCGTAGCGATATGACTGAAAAATTCTTAAAGCTATATTAAAAATCCAAACACACGCGCGTACACACACATACATATATACAATACGGTTCTTTCACTTACACACATACACACATATTATATATATATATACTGCTAATACAACTATATTAAACAGATCAAACTCGCGTTCTACAGTCTGAAATCCTGAACATGATATCAGGTGAAGGAATCTGATAGATTTACATTGTGTTATGAAGTCCTGCAACAATAATGTATTTCAGCTTTGTGAGTCAGCGAAAGGAATGTGGTAATGAACAAGGACGGAGCTTCCAACTGTATGTATGAATGTACGTAGGTAGGTAGGTGTGTATGTGTGCGCGCTTGTGTGTGTGTGTGCATGTATGTAGTGATGTGCCTATACCGGTAGTTAGATTGATAGTTACGTTCAAATGTCCATATCTTGTGATTCTCATAGAAACGTAAATATACACAACCGAGACAGACACTCGGAATTAAATGAAAACCATATTTGAGATTCAAAGGTTATCTATATTAATCTTTACAGTTAAAGTAAACTCACGTATGTGAATTCAAAAAGTCGAATATGACATATTTTAAAGCTGTAGTGTAGTTACTCGCTTATAAGTTGTACAACTACAAACTGCACAGATCCAGATCTGCAGTCGCATAATAAATGAGCCGGCAGATATAGGTCTTTGTGTTTAGATAGAAGTCATCAGTAGAACAAACAACATATACCCTGATCCGAATTCGCATTATTCTGCGGAATATCTGGATCTTTGAGAAGGGGGATGGATTGCAGTTTGTTTCAACTTATAAGCAGGTATATAAGGTTTTACCAATTAAATCTACTAGGCGTCATCTTTAGCATAGAAGTTTCATCTTGAAAGTTAAAGAATGAATGAATGAATGAATGAATGAATGAATGAATGAATGAATGAATGAATGAATGAATGAATGAAACCTTCGTGTTACATTGAAGGACCTTTCTTTTAAACAGTGTTTGTTAGAAAAAAGGAAGGAAAGAACATGATCAGAGCGGACTAGCTCGATGGATTATTTATTTCAGGTTCCTATGAAATACTGAGTTTAGGATAAGCATTTTGTTCTTAATATAAAAACATGAAATTTAGTTTTAACCTTTTTTGCTCCCAACATCTTACTGTCTTTATTGTCATTATCAGAATTGTAGTGGTTATTATTATTATTATTATTATTATTATTATTATTATTATTATTATTATTATTATTATTGTCGTCGTCGTAATCGTTGTCGTCGACGACGACGACGATAGTGGTTGGTGTTCCAAGAGGACACGGTGAATAAGTGACTGCAACTAAATTCGAAACTGACTGAATGCATTAGTGATTCCGAGTGTGTAATTGTCGTTGGTTGTGATGCATATAGTTTCTCGTGCTTCGTCTAACACTGAAATTGAAATCATTGGTTTACAAATTATGAACAGTAATATTTCAGTTTTTAGTTTTCTTCCTTATACGGGTAATGGTAAGATGAAAGCTGTTGACATAAACCTGAGAAAGGTATAGGCAGAGAAGTCTGAAAATATTTAATCGTTTGTATGAGTAAGAAAAAATACCTTGCAAGAAAAATAATCAACATCATAGGCTACCATTTATTTCACATAATTTGCTTTTTAATTTGGATATTTCTAAACTCACCATATACGATATCGATTTATATAATCTCACATCGATAATAAACACTAATTCCACATCCTCACCATATACACCAAAATCATTTTTGGAACGTTTTACAACTCTGGAACCAACAGGGAAAAATATCGAAATTATTAAATTTACTCTGAGCCTTGTTTTGGAAACATTTATAAACATCTCTCTCTCTCTCTCTCTCTCTCTCTCTCTCTCTCTCTCTCTCTCTCTCTCTCTCTCTCTCTCTCTCTCTCTCTCTCTCTCTCTCTCTCTCTCACACACATATTTATTTAAATTTCCGTCGACTGAATTTTGAATGTATAGTATTTATGCTAATATCAATATTGTTTTATATTCATGTTTACACCTACATCATTAATGCACATTCCTGTTGCAGACTTGGATATCGACTTTTCAATTTCTAGTCGTGGACGTATTGTAAGGACATTTCCTCAGTTTAAGTCAAATATATTCCTTATGGGAGGCATCTCCAAATATATCATATTCCATTTTCATAACATCCCGTTATATAAAATTAACTGGTAATAACCAAATGTCATCCAACATGACCTAATCGAAATTTCAAGAAAATCCGCTGCATTCGTACAAGTAGGGTTATTCCCCTTGGACCATTGTTAGGTTCGTGTAGGCTGTATTAGCAGTGTTCAGATAACATACTTTTGCTTTTGTATTTATAAGCAACTTTTTCTATTCATGTTTCCTATATCGACTTTTGACTCAACATGGGTTGCTCTTTTATTCACGTCAATACTAAAAGATCGTAATAATCTCTTCAACATGTGTATGGTGTGTTTTTCCCTTAACAAAGAGTTTGTTCAGCCCGAAACTTTTTTTTTTTAGGAAACCGTTTAAATGTTCACTGTTATGAACATTTGGGTATTTTTTTACGTTGGTATGTAATCCCTTCATTGAGCATTTTCTAAATGACTATGAAATCAAACGGCGTATATTAATAAAAATTTACTAATTTATAGTTAGCTACCTTTTTCAGAAGACTAGAAATTTACAAAATCAGTATTTAAAATATGATAATTGATTGTATCTTTACAGTGAAAAGGAAATTTTATTTACTGAATATCACGTCCATTCTTAAAAATGTTCAGTCTTTATATAAATCCCTTTGGTTGCACAGTTTGATGTTATGTAAATACTGAGTCCCAAATACTATGAAGTCATCCAAACCAAGATGGTCCCGGGTCAACCAGTCATGAAACTTTCTGGGTAGTTTCTAGTGAAATGCTGCTTGAAATCTTTTTATTTGTTTGTTGTTCTTTGTTATAATAAAAAGAAAAAACGGGGAAGGGTAGGTTGCTAATTTTTTTTAAATTATCGAAGTCCCTCACTTTCAGTGTCCAGAATATTTATTCTACCCTGAACCAAGTAGTACATGTGCTGTGGACTTGGTCATATAGTGCAGAAAAGTTGTATTTATTTTTTTTTTGACCAATAATCTTTGACATTTATGGGAAAAAAATAGAGGTATGAGGTCTAATTGATAGCCTTTTATCAGTCTGCATTATGAAGAATACTTCCAAGCTTTGAGTAGTCTGTGCATAATTTTAAGGTCCATATCATTTCTGCTGTGTACGTGGATATTGTTGGCATCGATTTAGATGAAGACTCATTAATTTGTCCTTTTTTGGTTTTGTTCTTTTCGCTTCATGAGAGATATTTTGCTTCACCTGATAATATGAAACCTCTGGGTTAGATAAGGGGATAAATACAGTATATTCCCAGAAATTTTGTTTTTCCAAATTTCCCCATCACGTTACCGGCCTTCATCACCTCGTAAGCGTCTAAGGTTAATATTTCGACATGCGATATACATCGTGGTACAATTGATCTGACAATCCCATCTTTTGGAATAATTATATTTGTATCGATTATTGAGGTCCCGATCAAGTCCCATTGATGAATTAAGTCGTAGGCAGCTGGTATCATATGACGTAAATTTCACGATGAAATCACCATAGCAACATGACATAGGTCGAGGTCAATTTCCATAAATGGATTTTTTACGTCGCAAATGTTAAAACACTTGTTTTGATTGGTCCTGATTTATTTGAATGAAACCCAGTGATGACCAGTTATCATAAACCCAGTTATGGTTGTTTTCAGAATAAGTCAACCTGGAAAATCCGTGTATGCTGTTTTGATTGAATATATTTTTATTTCTTCTGGAACAATCGGGAATATTGATCTGAATAGGATACGAATAGAGAAAATTTTATTGATTTTCCAAGCTTCCAGTGACGTAAATATATTTCCCAAGGAGAAGGATTGGGGGCGGATGATACTATCTTTAATTCACCAAAGACGGCCTAACAGATGTAGTAAATGAACGGGAAACGTAAATCAATCAAGATATAAAATAGAATTGTTGTATTTACGCTCATATCTATTTTGAGATTGGTGCTGTTTGGTTATATTTTATCCTCATCTGGAGGCTTGCTGTAGGGATAGTGGTTTTGCGATAAGAAGGTTGGTAGATTTATTTTATGTTCCACAAATGTTGCTATTTTTATGGAATTGTTTATCTGTATTTTCACTTTTTTAAAATTTAATCAATATTTTATTTCTTTTGTTCAAATACATTTCTAATTGTTGTCATATTTAGCAAAGGCTAATTCAGAGACGATCGCAAGGGATAGACAAAATCCTATTTTGTCTATATTAAAACCGTTCCATTAAATTTAAAAACAGGAGATTTGGGTAAAAGCTAACCACCATCTTTGCAGAGGTAAATATTTTTTAAAAATTGTTTCAAATACATAAACGCATCCGCTTCTGTACAGTTTTGTATTCTTGTCTTTACATAATATATGAACAAACAGTGAAGATTTATTTTTGATGGTTCGATAATTGGATTCTTAAAATGATAATGGAATTAATTGGATCTATATTTATTGGACTAATAAGCTTTCCAAAATGGTCAGGGGGAGGGGAGACTGCCAATTTAAATTGTATTGAGAGGTATAGACGCTAAAATATTAATGTTTCATTTATCATGCATGTATGTTGTATTTAAAACAAAACTAGG